CGCATGGGTGTGAGTCCGGAGGGGTGGGGGCAGCATGCCCAGGGCTGCGGGGCGGGAGTGAGGGGCGCCAGCAGAGCTGTGGGGAAAGGCCAGGGGAGGGATAGGAGCGAGCGGGGAGGGGGAGCTGAAGTAACAGGAAGGAGCCGGCATTAACCAGACCCTGCACTTGCTCCTATGCACACACGGGTGCACGTACGGAGGTGTGCGCACACACGCGCGCACACACACAATATCTCCGGTCAGTATCCGCAAAGCGCATTGTGACAGTACCATGAGAATGGGGTTGTTTCTGCCCCCCCTCATCTCACCCCCGTGAGGAGCCGGAGTATCGGGGCAGGGAGCCAGCTCCCTCAGCCCCCGCTGCAGCAGTCAGGGAGGCTGGATCCCTCTCCAGCAGGGGGCACTGCAGTGAGTGGGGCAGGAGTGCTGGGGTGGGGCAGCTCCAGGCAGGGGCGTAGGCCCTGCACTGCCCGGGGCCGGGGGGGGGGCTGGTGATAAGCAGAGGCCAGGCAGGGCAGGTTGAAGAGACAAGACCCCTGGCAGAGGTGCCAGTCCCCCCATTGCAGCAGGGATCTGCCCCCCTGGGCTGTCTGCCCCCCAGGGCTCCTGGAGGAGGGGCTCGGGCCGATTACAGGGGTCAGACTAGTGGAAGCTCCTGGCCCAGCAAAGCTGGGCGAAGCCGACCGGCAGCAGGAGCCCCAGGTGGGAAGCGCCCCCAGCCAGCCCAAGCAGCCCCACGTCCCCGCTCACCTGAAGGCCGGGGGCTGGGCCCGGGGAGCGAGGGCCGGGCGGGTGCCGGGCCGAGCACACGACGCCGGCGTCCTCTCCGTGGTGGCAGTCACTCACGCCCCAGCCGTTGGAGTGGCACTCAGCCAGGGAGCGCTCGGTGCCAGCGCAGCGCAGGTTATCCAGCCAGACGGGGCCTGGCGCAGCATAGCGGGTCAGTCACGGGTCTGGGCCAGGAGCTCTGGCACCCCCCCCCCATGGGCTCAGCAACAGGGCCCCAGGCCGGCAGCCCCCACCCCCGAAAGCATCAGAGTGTAGTTATTAATGGTTCCCAATCCTGCTGGAAAGGTATAACAAGTGGGATTCCGCAGGGGTCTGTTTTGGGACCGGCTCTGTTCAATATCTTCATCAAC